AATACTAAGATTTACTTGTCTTGAAGAGCCTCACGTGCATATCTTAAGAGACTTTTATTAGGAAAATAACGTTAACCCGTTAATTTTTTTATTTTTTTTACGTGATATTCCGTAAATGTAGCATAACTGTTTTGACTTAAGAAAAAAAGGATTTTTTTTTTTCACACGTTCCCTAAAAGTCTTTATTAAGAAATAAAAATTATAGCAATTAATCCTCAAAAATTTGTAGAATTTATTAAATTTTACAGTTCTTATTTAAAATATTTTTATTTTTTGCATATTAAAAGAATACACTTATTAAATTCTTTTTATCAAAAATATATTAATAAAGAGATTATACAGTTAGCTAACTTACTGTATAACAGAAGCACTGGTCGATGAAATCTTCTTCTGCTACAGTAACTCTGCAGTCGTTTCGAGCCCACAGCCAATTCTTTTTTCCAATTTAATGAGAATGATTGTTCTCCATAACCCAGATGGATCCAAGAGGATATGCTACTTTAACCCCATAATTTTTTTAATATATTTTTAGCTTTTTTATTTAATAATTTTTTTTGAATAATTTATATTTACTGTCCATTTCATAAGTTTCATATAAAATTCATCTGATATAAAAATTAGATTAATATTTTTTTATATTGTAGGAGATAATTTTATTTTCTACACACATATAAAAATATGTAGAGCCTATATAAAGCCAAGAGAGAAAAAAACATGAATAGTATATTTTTATATTTATATATAGGGGAAGGATATTGTGACAACCAAGTTGTGTTACTACCAAGTGACTACCAATCAATCTCACCGTTAGATCGATTATGTTGATCCAACGATTATATTTATTTTCATCTTTGTATGGTCATGATTCCCCATATTTAAAGTGAAAGCATTAAATATGAAAAATCATAACCATACAAAGGTGAAAATAAATATAAAATATTAAATTTGGAAAATCATGACCAAACAAAGATGAAAATAAATATAACCGTTGGATCAATATAATCGATCTAACGGTAAGATTGATCGGTAGTAACACAACTTGGTTGTCACAATATCCTTCCCCTTATATAAAAGATAAAATAATCTCTTATAATATGAAAAATATTAATATCTATCAAAACATATTAAAAAGAAGATGCATGTTGTTAACATTTTCCTTAAAAAGTAGGGCTGTACATAGGTCGGGTCAGGTTTTTGTGCCGAGTCGACCCAACTTGATTTTTATAGGTCAGGTATTTTGACTCGACCCGCTTTATTTTGATCTAAGTCAGGTCTGACTTGGTTTGGATTTTTTTGAACTAGTTCAGAACCGGGTTGGATCTGACCTGACATGATTTTTGAAGTGGGTCTGACTTGATTTCTGAAGTGGATAAAATCCGACCTGACCCGTTTTTGACTTGGTTTCGTCACAAAATTTCGTCGAAATTTCTACGTTGCAAATGACGAAAATTTCGTCACAAAATTATTTTTTCGTCGGAATACATTTTGTGGAAAAGCGACAGAATCTTTTCTCTAATGAGATTTTTTACAAAAATAAATTTTCTATCGAAATTTAGTTTCCGTCAAAAGTTTTGACGAAAATGATTTCCTCCATCAAATGTTTTAAACGAAAAAAGAATTCCGTCAAAAATTTTAACGGAATGTTTACTTTCAAAATTTCGATAAGAATGTGTTATGACGAAAATTTCGACGAAAATTGTTTTGAGGAAAATGTTTCATTCGAAACTTTCGACGAAGTTTAGATTCTCTAAAGAATTTTGACAGAATATTTTTTCCGTCAAAATTTTTACGAATTTTTTTGACAGAAATGTGCTTCGTTAAAAATTTTGATGGAAAGATTTTTTATCAAAAAACTTGACGAAAATATTTAGTCGAAAATTTCCGATAGAAATGTGTTTCGCTAAAAATTTCGACGAATTTTTTTTTGTCAAAATGTTCAATAAAAATGTTTTCGCCGAAATTTGAATTCTGTAAAGAATTTTGATAAAAAAATTTTCCGTCAAAAAATTTCGATTGAAATGTGTTTCGTCAAAATTTTTGATGAATATATTTTTTTATGAAATATTTTGACGAAATTTAGATTCCGTAAAAAAATTTGACAAAAAAAAATTTCGTCAATTTTTTTTACAGAAATATTTTTAGTCACAAATTTTGATGAAAAATATTTTTTGTCATAAACTTTTGCGAAAATTTTTGATAGAAATATTTTCCGTAAAAAATTATGACGTAATTGTTTTATGTTAAAACTTTTCGTTTAATGTAATTGTGATTTTTTTTCACATAATAGGTATGGGTCAATGAGTCATTATTAAAAAAAGTCAGGTTTAAAACTGACCCTAATAAAAGTGAATCAATATTTAAATCAGTTCAAAAAAAAATGTATTTATGAATCAGGTCAAAGTCAGATAAAAAACATATTAAAAAGTGTTACAGACCACTGTAAATCTCAAAGCTTGCGTACCGTGGAATCATTTATCAACAACCATTTTGTAAAATACCTTGCCTTAATTAATTAATTTATTTTTTGAGCACAGTTGTATCAATTCTAAATAAAAAAAAGGCAGTATTACCACACAGAAAAAGACAGATATTTTTGTTTCAAGATTTACTATTTTTAAAAAGAGGTTGTACTTATCATTTTTTTTCTTATTGCTTCTTATAATTATTTTGTTATTATTAGATTAAAATTGAATTGATAGTTACAAAATATCGTCGAGAGAAAATTATTAGTTTAATTTTAATCCAATTATAACAAAATAATTATAAGAGGTGATAAAAAAAATAATAAACTCACAAATTAATTGTATAAATTATTATTTTAATAGAAAATAGAGAGTTTTATTTCGGTAATCATCACTCCAAAATAAATAAAATAATTTTTTAAATTATAAATTGTATATTAAATGTTATATATTGAACAAATAAAGTTATAAATCAAGTATTAAAATTTAAGGAGTTATAAAAGTTACATTTTTATAAAAAATTATAAATTTAATTTATATTTTATATCATTTATCTTGTAATTAAAAACAAGTAATATTCTTTATTATTTTTTGATAAACCACATGCATGCTGTTTAAGCTGGGAATATCCACATTAAGATGAAGCAAGCTCTTCCAAAGAATTTTTTTACAAAAAAAAAATTAGTGCAACTTGTAAAATTTTATAAATAAAAAAATTTATAAATATAACATGTCTCTTTAATAATATTCACACCATCAAGTGGGGAAGAAGGGAAAGCAGAAAAAACACAGTGGAAAAAAAGTGCATAAACAGACTAGGATTTTTCTTTTCTTTTTTGCTGCTAGCTACAAAACTGTCAACGGTACCCACAAAGTCACACGAAAAATAGCCAATCATATCAACGGTGGTTCCGTTGGGAAAAGTGAAGTAAATGCTAAATAATAATATTGCCCTTTTGCATGACCAAATTGAGGGCATTTCAGTCATCTCAGCACCACATAAATGACATGAGCAGAAACGGACAAACCAATGGCGATTTTGTAATAATCCCCGTAAGTAGGTGGCTTTCTCTAGGAAATAATAAAAGGGTTCGTTTAATCTTAGGTTGAGGGAGAGATCTTCTATCATATTGTGACACATATGTGATGGGACCCACCATTTAAAGAAAAAATAAAAAAATAAAGGTCATAATTTTCGATGAGTGTGTAGAAAATAAAACTGCTCTTATGCAACATAAGAAGAGTTTTTCCCATAATAAAAATCACATGTTTTGTTTTGTTTTACTGCGATTATTTAAATTAAATTGGTTTTATTTATTTTAGATTTAATTTGGAATAATAAAGGAAGAGAGAGAGGGAGGTACTAGAAGGTGGATGGCGGTGCGTTCCAATTTCACACACGTCTCCTTCGTCTGAAAGTAACTGTTTGCTCGCTTTTTTCTCGAACCTTCCACCGGAGATCCTTGCCGGACGGCCATCGGAGCTCCGTATCATCGGAATCTGGCCTTGATCGGCTGGATTCGATTCGATTGGGTTCGGCATCGACGGTGACCGTGGTAGTTGAGAGCTGAAACGGTGGCGTTTTGAATCTGTTCGTGTTTGGGTGAAACGAAAATGAATGGGATTGGGAATGGAGGTTTTAGCAGCATGGAGATGGAATACATAAGGAGGCATCATAGACAGGAGCCCGGGGAGAATCAGTGCTCCTCAGCACTCGTTAAGCATATCAGAGCGCCGGTTCCTCTGGTAATCAAGTTCTTCTTTCGATTCTTCATCATGCTTTTGTTTTGTACGATGAATTTTTTTTTTCCTTTTTTTGATTTTGTAGTTGCTGTTCTTTTTTTTTTCCTTTTTTTTGGATTGGATAGTTTGATCTGTTTGTTTTTTGAATACTATTGTCAATGTCAATATGGTAAATGTTTGTATCAGGCACTTGAATGGAAGATACTCGATTTGTTTGTCAAATAGTTATTCAGATTTCGATATGTTCTCTATTTGTTTATCTCTGCAATTTTTGCTATGGAATGAAGAGTTTTGACTTTAGGAATGGCATACTTCCTGACAAGAGTTTTGTATAATGCAGAAACTAAGGCTCTGTTTGATTTCTGTTTTGCAAAACAGTTTTTTAGTTTTCAGAACAAAAAAACTAAAAAACTCTTTGGTAAGACCTGTTTTGTAAAAAATGTTTTGAAAACTATAACTGTTTTTTTGTTTTAAAATCAAATTTAGAAAACATGTCTGAGTTGTAAGAAAAAAATATAGAAAACAACTGTTTCCGTAACTATTTTACAAAACAATTTTAAGAACAAAAAAACTAGAACACAATCAAACAGACCCTAAACCCCTACCCTTTATGTATGGTTATGGTTTATTTACCATGTCTCTCTCTGGAATTGCTTATTTATTCTGTGCTGGTTTCTATTTTATTTTTCTGTGTGTAGGTGTGGTCCTTGGTGAGGAGGTTTGATCAGCCGCAGAAGTACAAGCCGTTCATAAGTAGGTGTGTGGTGAGGGGAAACCTTGAGATCGGAAGTCTTAGAGAAGTTGATGTTAAGTCGGGGCTTCCTGCCACTACTAGTACTGAAAGATTGGAGCTCCTTGATGACAATGAGCATATCCTTAGCATCAGGATTATTGGTGGTGATCATAGACTTAGGGTATGAATATCTCCTTACAGAAATTTATCTGCTTTATTCTTCTGAAAAAAAAAAAAAAAAAGAGCATTTTCCTCAGTTAAGAGACCACTCTGACTACACTTCTGTCCATGTTTTGTGCTCAACCTTCTCTGTAATTATATATGTTTCTGTGCTTAAGGAACCCATCTCACCAATCATAAGCAAGATATGCAAACTTGTGAGTGGATTTTCTAATGTTAAAAATTCACATTATCTGGTCTGGTGAAATTTTTATGCCTATTTCTCTTTTTCGCATGCATTAAATAGATGTTGTCCAATTACAATTTGTCAACACTAATGAAGAAAGAAATAGACACAAAAATTTCACTTGACCCTCTCATGTGAAATTTTAACACGAGAGGATCCATTCCGTTCAAATTTAGTCTTTGTTGGCAGCTTAAAAGATCTCTAATTCATAGTTGTGATATTGGCACCATTAGGGAGGTCTATTAGTTAGTTGATTGGGTGTATACATTGTGTTTCATTCATAGGGTTGATCATGTGCTCAGTTGAAGGAAGATGCTGAATAGTACAGTCTTTATTGCTTATAATATTTTATTATATTGTTCCAAGATGCTGAGTAGTATCACCACTAGCCAACACTACACACGTTTCTTTTGCTTGGGGTTGAGAGGAGTTTTTTCTGCATATAAATTTGTCCTTTTCTCTTTTTGATGGTAAGTTCGCTACTTGACTTGACTTTTCCAATGCACGGGATCTCTTCTAGTTAGTCTTTTCTGTTATGATTTCGCCACGTCAAAACATGCAGGAATAATTGAGATGTTTTCTGCACTTATTGCTTAATGTAGTTTGAATTTTTGTTAGTTAAAGAGATTAGTGCATGCTCTTAATTCTAATTCTATTTCAAGCCCTGCACAACATTTTAGAAAACAGAAAATAACTGTTATGTTCAGATAGTGGCAGTTGTTCTGTCAGTTTGAAGGTAATGAAAGTCTCAATAAGTTCCTTGAATTATGGTTCTGGCTTCCATTCTCTAGCACGTATATGTTTCTAGCTAAGTTCAGACAGCTAAAATTTTCATTGTCTCGGAATTGTCAGATCAATAACAAGTTAATATTTTTTGCATTCTATTTGTTGACAATAAACTGTTATAACTTGCTGACTGTAAAACAGATATTCCTGTATGAGACATGTAAATGGAATTGCTTGTCATGAACCAACTATCACAAAAGCTTAAGCCACATGAATGGTTTATACTTTTATAATATATCTTTAACGTTGCTTCCAAGTCACTGATCTGTCAACACTTAGGTATTGCTCACTAAGCAGTTTGGCTCATTCTCCTCCATCTCCCACCCACAAATAAAAAATATAAATAGAAAAAAGTTAAGCTTTTGATCTAATAAGCTGTATCTTATGTCTTTCAGAACTACTCGTCTATCATGTCCCTCCACCCGGAAATTATTGAAGGAAGGCCAGGTACCCTGGTGATTGAATCTTTTGTGGTGGATGTACCTGAGGGGAACACCAAGGACGAGACCTGCTACTTTGTTGAAGCCTTGATTAAGTGCAATCTCAAATCACTTGCTGATGTCTCAGAAGGGCTTGCTGTGCAGGACCTCACCGAACCAATTGATCGTATGTATGAGCTGTTGATAAGTGGCTGATAACTTGGCTGCCATGGATGAAGTTTCGAGGGCTTTCCTATTTCGGAGGCTTAGGAGACAGACTGGCAAATGGCAATGGTGCTTGTTCTATCTGTTATAGAGTAGAAGGGTTGTTCATTCGATTTGCTCTATTAATTATCTTTGTTGTATATGCTGTTTTCTCTCTTCTGTAGTTAAAGAACAGAAATATTTTAGACAGGTGTCTGAATCCAGTACATAAAAGGCGAAGGACCAGGTGCTTCGGCGTGATCTCTATGTGATGTACTTGTATAATACGTGCTGGTGACAGTGGGTCTGTAAAATTGTTTCGATTAATCAGTTGTAATTTCTAGTTAAATTAAAATTTTCACATATAGGGGAGATGGAAAAAAATTTCAGTACTCCTAGAAATTTAGTAGAAGTTGCTTCTTAATCCTTATGAATGGATCCCGACGGCTTCTTTGGTTTTCGTTCTTTACGTTACGACCTTTCATGTCACTGGAGTTGGTAAAATATCGGAAACTTATTAACTTATTTATGTTCACGGCTATTGAAACGACTAATGATGCTAATAAATAATATAACGCTTTTGGTCTGAAAAATGGTGCAAGTAAGTAGAAGGTATGTCTGTAAGCAGAAGGTAAATATTTTAAATAAAAAACTGAAACATCGGTCAACTTGCCAAACTAGGGCGGGATGAGTTGGTTTATTTTTTGGCGGGATAGGGCGGGGTGGGATATCCACTTTGCCATCTCTACTTAACGGTTCAAAAAAATTTAACTTCGCTTAAACTAAATCAAATGAATTAATTAATGCACTTAAAATAATTAACTAATAATTATAAAATAATTTAAATTAATATAGACTGAATTAAACTAAAAAAATTAACAAAAATAAATTATATTTAATTCATTGACACTTCTTAATTAAATTAAATTAACTAATAGTTCAAAAAAATTAATATAACTTAAACTAAATAAAATAAAATTAATTAACACTCCTAAAACAATTAATTAGTAGTTATAAAATAAATTAAATTAATATATACTGAATTAAACTAAAATAATTAATTTAAATTATTTTATAACTATTAATTAATTATTTTTAGGAGCGTTAATTAATTTTATGACATACACGTAATATGCTATACTGCATAACATGTTTGATGTCACGTAATCTCGTTGCATTGCGCAGCAGCTTACGTGACCATGCAACTTCTGCCACGTGTCAACACCTAACTCGCTAGATGTTGTAGCGAATTAGGCGACGTGGTATTTTGGAAAAATATTTGCAAAATATGGCATTAAGATGATTTTTGCAAAAAGTGTGACACTTTGGTCATTGTCCCAGAGACAGTAGCATCATGTTGAGAACATAATTTAATAATTCAACTAGCCTTTTGGCACACTTCGCACGGGCAATCTGCATTGCGCAGTGACTTACGTGGCCATGCATCTTCTGCCACGTGTCAACACCTAACTCGCTAGATGTTATAGCTAATTAGGTGACGTGACATTTTGGAAAAATATTTGCAAAAATATGGCATTAAGATAATTTTTTGCAAAAAGTGTGACACTTTGGTCATTAGTAGCATCATGTTGAGAACAAAATTTAATAATGAGTAAATATCATTTTCGGTATTCAGCAACTTTTATGATGCCATTTTAGTCCTTAGCAAATAAAAAGGCTATTCGTGGTCCATAAGAAATTCAAAGTGGACCCATTTTAGTCTTTTTGAGGGACTAATGGGTTTTTTTTGAATTTATAAGGGACCACGATTTCAATTAAATGGGTCCATTTTGAATTTCTTAGGGACCACGAATAACCTTTTTATTTTCTAAGGACTAAAGCGGACATCGTGAAATTTGCTGAGGACCAAAAAATGATATTTACTTTTTAATAATTCAACCAGCCTTTTGGCACACTTCGCATGGGCAATCTGCATTGCGCAACGACTTACGTGGCCATGCATTTTCTGCCACGTGTCAACACTTAACTCGCTAGATATTGGAGCGAATTAAGTGACGTGAAATTTTTTAAAAAATATGGCATTAAGATAATATTTTGCAAAAAGTGACACTTTGATCATTGTCCCAACATCATGTTGAGAACATAATTTAATAATTCAACTAGCCTTTTTGACACTTTCGCACGGACAATCTTACTAATCAAATTATTAGTATAAACAAATACGTGCAAACTCGTGCTGATAATGAATATAAATGTTTAATTAATACATTATAAGTTTTATATGTTGGTTATTTGTTTAATAAATAACGTCAAAAATTTAATTAACATGCGGCTTTTGAACCCGAAGCTAAAGAGGAAGTGATAACATGAGATAAATTTTTTACAGCATCCAAGCAAAATCAATTGTACTATAATTATTCAAATATCATTCTCAAACACAAATAAATTATTAAAACCTAATCCAAACAGAACATTTTGTTTCAGAGTTGTTAGCCAACTAAAAGTTCTTGACCAATAGCTCATAGACCATCACATACAAAATCTGAAAAATAACAAAAAGGAAAGCTGAGAAGAGGCCAATTTGAGGTTCAGAATAACGTCAGCAAATGAGGCCAGTTTCACCAGATGGGAACCCTAATTCAAATAACTAGCCTCACTTTTGCTGAAGCCAGCTGGAAATGTTAGCCAATGACCAATGTTGATCTATTACAGACATAGGAGGTACATGCTATTGAGTACGATCAAATCCATATGTGGGCAATGTTGATGTAGGATATGGCGTGCTGTGACTAGGAAAATGCATTCCAGGGGCCATTTGTGGTGGCATAGTTCCAGGTGGCATGTAAATATTATTGTGCATCTGTGGTGGCATGGACTGAGGTCCTGCCGGTGGAGCTGTCCCCCATCCACCATGAGATTGAGGCATCAGAGCTTGCTCAGAAGTTGGAGTATATTGAGACCCATTGTATTGTTGAGCAGGAGGACCCATCATGGGAACAACAGGATGTTGTCCTAAAATTGAGGGCGGGGCGTTCACAACAGGTGTATTAGGAATTGTATAGTCTCTACTCCTGTCATTATTGACCTGTAATTAAACAAATCGTCCTTGGAATTAAATATAAACCGAAGCCATGATAGAAGTATAACTCTTGTAAGAGTGACTAACTACAAACGGGTTCCTACTTACGGTAAGCTTGAAAAATGATTTCTTAGTATTCAATACCAGTTGATCACTGCCACCCACAAAAAAATGAAAAGGAATATCTAAAACTAAACAGCAAATCTAAAAGTATGAGACAGGATCATTATATTAGGATTTTGTAATTAAAGCAGTCAAGAAGTTCCAAAAGAAAGGTGCAGTGGTGGAAAAAAAATTTCAGCACTCCTTGTACCAAGTAGATTACCTACTAAACTTATAAAATATTACTCACCTAACTCCACTAACTCCACTCACTTCTCTGTTATTAATATCATATGAATCTCACTTATTTCTTTAGTAAGGAGTACGCACTATACGAGTACTGAAAAATTTACTCTTGATGGAGACCAATGTTAGTAAGGAGAATTTTGTCACGCTTCAGTACAAAGATTTCCAGCGTATGATAAACCAACATCATCCCAGAAAGTAAAAACCAAGAGTCCAAAACTAAATTCTCAAGTTCTGAGTATGTTTAACTAGGTATATCCAAGAAAGAGGATTGGCTTTGTTTGATTACATAACAAAGGGACCATTGTTTTATCATAGTGGTACAAGACATTCAGTTCACATACTCTTTCAAGCATTTATTTAAATGACATCAATCCTCACAACAGATAGTGTTGATTGTTTACCTTTATACTAAGATCCGTATGACGTGAATATGAGAGGTGAAGCTTGCAAAAACCTCCGTCATATATGCAGTGTCCTTCCAAGGCTTCCTTGGCCACAACAGCTGTCTGAGTATCTGTAAGCCATTGTATGTCAATGTCTCAAACTTATCTTGACAGTAAAAAATAAACAAGGCAAGTAAGAGTTTCTAACTATCAATAAGGTCAATATCCCCCATGCTTCCATGCTGAATTGCTGACACAAATGCATACATAGCGCATTTGAATTACATTATTAAACTAATCAAAGATAAGTAAGCACCCTGCAGAGGAGATTCCCAGCAAGCAATAGATTATTTTGAGAACAATCATATCTAGAAAATATTTACCTAAAGGGAAAATAGAGAGAAGAACAAGAAGATGCAGCTTCTCTCTTAAATATTCTATCCAAAATAAATCAATCTCAGTAATCGACCACTTCTATTTTGAAGAATTATTAGATTATGTGGGGCAAAACCTCCCACGTTAATACTGCAAAGGGAGTTCATCTAAGTTTATACATAGGGGCACACAGTACGACTTGTCCCTTTCCTCACCAATTTACAGAATCACGCAACACCGAAGCACATTTGAAAACTTTCCCCAAATGTAATGTTTAAAACTTATGAGACGTAGGGAACAATTGACAAGCACACTCACTTGGTTTTGTACAAACAGTAATAATCAACAGTACAAACATAATTTATCAAAATAATGACGGGCACAGTTCTTCGAAGAACCTAACATAACCTAACCTGGATATTGAATCAGAGCTTGTACACCACCATTCTTATCAAACATCGCAATCTTTTGGACAGGCCCAAAAGCAGAGAAAACCTATCACGACAAGCAAAAAAGGGGGGAGGATATTATTAGCTAAACTTTATTATCAATCAATAATGTAAAAGATGGCTGGTTGAGGTTAAAAGTACCATGTGTAGGACATCCAATGTTACAGCATATTGCATGTTCTCAATAGATGCAAGAAGAACATTACTCTCGGTCTCCAGTCTTTTCCCATCCAAACCAACCATGGCCTGCAAAAGTTATAAATGAATATTAAAAAAAAAATCCTCAGTAAGCAAGTCAGTATGCATGACAGCCCCTTGGCAGAAGGCACACACCTAACAGATGTGCATGAAGTAAACATTCAATTTAGAAGAAGCAATTTGGAATGCTACAATTGCACGTTGGAACAGGTCACAAAATGTCATATTGTTACTCCCGTAAAAACAGAAATATTTACTGTCAAAATGTTACCTGGCCACTACCCTCCACGGCTGATTGAGCAACAGGAAGATAAGGATTAGTGTAGTCTCTGAAGAAAAAAGAATCAATTAAAGAAAAAAATAAGTAATATCATAGAAAGAAAAAGGGCTTAAAACCAATATGAAAGGTGAGATATAGAACCAGCATCCACAACAAAGAAAACACTAAAAATCAACACGGAAAGTAAAGAAATAAAATAAAAAAGTTCCGCAAAAACTTGGTTTTGTGTAAGCCAGCAACACCAAGGAAATCGGCAATACCTGCTCCTGTGGCTTTGAAACTTAACGCTTAAATCTGTATGTCCAGAATATGTGATCCTAAGGGTACATGGGCCCACATGCTCAGGAAGCAGATACCTGATACCAGGGTGAGAATAAAGATAAAAATCAGAAATAAATTGAGAAATAATAAGAGCTAACTAATGTTCTAATAACTACTTAGCACTTTTTTTATTCAAGATTGGTCCAGTTAGCATTATGTAGCTAATAACTATATTCCATAATTCGATGATACATAAAATTACATAGTGCAAAAAAAAAGCCTATAAAACCCCATAACAAATTGAATACAAAAAGAACTACCAAATTGTGAATATACAACGATCCAGCAGTTGACTGCTGACCAGTCTGAGAACATATACACCACATCTACCCCCATATGATCCACAGCAGTGGAGCTAAATACCTTGTCAAATATGTAATAGTAATACAATTGTTACCTAGGTATGCTTCTTCCATCCAAAGCATCTTTTGCAGAAGTGGCAGTCTCTGCATCTGAGAATTGCACCAGTGCCTACACAGTTGTACATAGAATAAGCTTGTGCTCATACGATAAAAAAAGGTACAATAAATAAGAGTGACCTATTATTAAACCTGGAATCCTGCTGTCTTCTCGAAAGTAGTAATCTTATGCACAAATCCAAAGGCTGAAAAAACCTGCAGAAGGGAATAATAAGCTTTCTGGATGATATTTACTAAAATGGATCTTGACAATTGAACATGAAATGGACAATGTCTGGAGCCTTCTAAGTTATAAGGTATGCTGTGGAAAAGTGATAATACCAACAAATCTAGAATTTCAGCATATAGGCAAGGCAATCCATCACTTACATAAACTAACAAACTTCACTTTATTTATGGACACTAACGATTAACAAACCAAACCACAATAAGACTTAAATAACACTATGGAAGTATAAGGCTTTAAGCAAATCAATATATCTCTTGAAATTATCTGCAAATGAAACATTAAGAAACTATCAAAACAATTGTGAGAGATTTTTCATTAAAGATATAGTATTAACTGCAAATAATGAGGGGAAATGGTTCGGCCGAGTGGTTCAATTCAGATAACAGTTTTCTTAAATAAATAACTGCATAGAATATATATAACTGAGTTTTGAAGGTAATTGTGTGATTCACTTTGATACTTGAATATTTGATTCAAACAAAGGAATTATGAAGTAAATTACCTCTTCAATTATGAACTATGTGAAAACTCAGCATTCAATTGCCAAGTTTAGAAGGAAACTTTTATCCTACTTTCAAATAAGACTTAGAAACTCTAAAGCACAACCAAAAATTAGTTGGAACAAAAATGAAATAACTGAACAGAACAGAATCCAATGAGTCAATGAAGCACGGATGCACAAATGAAAAAAAAAATGGCAAGATCCTAAACTGCAAGAATGGTAGGAGTTGAGGGGAAGAATAGGGAAGAAAGAGTTAGTGTTAAGGAAAGGAGAAAGGAGACAAACACACAAGCGCTATTTCTCCCAAAGCACTAAGCAGCCATCGAAGATATTGCCTTGACATGGGCCTGCTGATTCATTTACATACATGTCAACAATTTTTCCATAGCCTGACAAAGAAAAACCTAATCACAAAACTAAATGACCAGCATCCACATGATGACAGTGTTAGCATATAACTAATTACACACATGTAATTGCTCACCAAGTGCAAAACATCAATGCTTACAAGGCGTGCATCTGCACCCTCAATCGTTACCAACAATACATTCCCAGCAACATCTGCAGCAGTTTTATTATTCACTATTTCTTGCCTATTTGAATATTGTAGATATACAGTCTTCCCTCGCACTTGGGCAGGCTCAGATGATGAGGCATAGTACGATATCATTGCAATGGCTTGGTTTAAATCTGCCTGGAGATTATAGTTACAATATAACTAATAATCAGTAACCTTATATGAAGGGGAAAAAAAGATAGAGAATAAGAAACAAAAGGGAAAACAAAAATCAAATCTACTCACAAATTCAATAAAAGCTTGATTTCGATTTGCTCCAACATTGCATTTTGTGTTCACAACTTTACCAAAGGGCTTCCCAAGTTCAATCAACTCCTCCTCTGTGCACTCCCATGGCAAGTTTCTCAAATGAAGCACCTTTGATGGCGGTTGAGTGTAACGGAACTGTGGCTGAGTAGATACCGATGCCATTCCAGACAATAACCCTAAACCTTTAGACTACAATATCCATTTCACAACCATAAGTATGTTTCTCAAAATAATGTCCAACAGAGGACGATAATTTACGCATAATTTAGCCAGCATGCTTCACAAAGGTACAACAATCAAACCTTATCGCACAAAAATGGCAACAAGATCAGCTGAATGTAATTTAGATATTTCTAGATGCCAGGGGAAAAAATAACAATGTTTTGGGGGTAACAACAAAGTGCATATGCAATTCCAGAAAAAAAATAAAAAAATAAAAATGAATGGACCTAATCTCAAATAAAGGAGATCTCTGAGAAGTAGTAGCTAACGGATTTAGGGAAAATTATCGAGATCCACAATAATTAAATCAGAAGAAGTGAAAAATGAGTTAGGGCAAGTTAAATTACCTGAGAGAATTCGGAAGAGGATAAGATTTTGACGAGTTCACGCAATTAACATAAAAATTCTCTGTTATCACCGTCCCGTCAATTGTTTATGGAACCCCGTGTGTTGTAGCGTCTGTCTTTTCCCACCAACAGAGTTATTGCACAACCCAGAGATAAACTAAATTCACGTCCCTTCTTCACGTTGAACCGCAATCACATATAGATGAGACTTTTTTATTAAAAATAATCGATAGCTATATTATTTAATTTGTTTTTTATTTAAAAAAAAATCAATAGCCATCTGTTCTTTCTGTTGCGGGTTTAGCCTGAACTTGACGACTATGACCCTTCGAAGGTTATCGCTTGTTTTAATAATATAACTACTCCCTTTCTTGCTTAAGCGAACGAAATAAAGTAAAATGCATAGTCATAATTTGGCGGTCAAAAACAGGGCAGAACAGAACAGAACGAACTCATTTTTTGGTAAATTGATAGTGCGAAATGTGGGTGAGGACGAATCAATGTAAAATATATTCGAGTCCACGGATCCACCTATTTCGCCCACTAAACGGGGCAAGACGAGTAGACTCATTTTTTTGGCGGGACATACATTTTATCACCTCTAGTCAAAATATGATATTTAAAATAATGGATTTGATTAATGACAATTGCAATAGGAAAGACGCAGAAACTCAAATTCAAAATTGAAATAGTCGAGTACATGGTAACTAAAATCTGTGCTTTTATGATTTTTTTTTTATCAAAATGCTTTCATTAAAATTTCAAATGTTTTATGATTTTACGTTTTATGTTTTTATTTATTTTTTATTTTTAGATAAAAACTCGATTTTAACTATTTTGGTTGAATATGTTATGATTTCAAACATAGATTGATATTTAAAAAAAAAAATTGATGCTTTTCATCACATGTCTTATATAATTTTATTTTATTTTTTAAACTTGAACCATTGGTGTGTTAGAATAAATTTGTTTCCCCACTAAGGATAGAATATGTGGATATAAGAAACACAGTGATATAAACTGAAGCTCCACAATAAAGTTACCACAAATGGGTCTCAACCTCTCAGGTTTCTACCAAGATTCCAAGAATAATAATGGCTAGGCTAATGAGTATGCAAAATGTGTTTCTTCACGGAGAAGATGAGTATTTATAGGGGCAAAATAAGAATCCCTGGTGTGATGGCCGTGTGTCATAATTAGCGTCAAGGGCTTGGGTTCAAACTCTGTTGGCCGATGTGATGATTTTGTTGGTGGATGATATGTAATCTCTCTCAGAAATTTTCAAAGAGGTTGGAGGTTTTCCCTGACCCTAGTGGGTTATCGGTGTCTAACCTCACTTAAACTTTTTGTTACCAAAAAAAAAAAAGATTTTATATAAAAATGAAACAGGGATAAAAAATAATAAAAGTAAAATCGTAATATAAAAAAAATCATATATATGTAAAAGCGTTTAGAGTATTACTAAAAATATTTTGATAAATTTTTTTTATAAAAACATAAAAACGGAATGGTAAAACAAAATTTTAACGGAACAGTGACCAAAGTGCCACGTTTGGACAAAAAAATTACCAGACTGCCACGCCAACAGTAAATTTTGCCAAAATGCCACGCGGAATAATTCGCTACACAGTGTAGCGAATTATGCATGCAAGTAATTCGCTACGCAGTGTAGCGAAATATGCCACGTCAGAACCAAAAATGCCACATGTCAAATTTTGCAAAATTCGCTACATATTTGGTTCTCAAAATTTGACATGTGGCATTTTTGGTTCTGACGTGGCATATTTCGCTACACTGTGTAGCGAATTACTTGCATACATAATTCGCTACACTGTGTAGCGAATTATGCCGCGTGGCATTTTGGCAAAATTTACTGTTGGCGTGGCAGTGTGGTAATTTTTTTGTCCAAACGTGACAAAATGGTCACTCTCCCAATTTTAACTAACATAACTGTTTTGCTTTATGGGCTTCGCTATGAGTGTGACAGTACGTGTGTATAAGAAAGGGAAATCGGGCGTGGCAAGAGGCATAAGAATTAAGCCCCACCCCCTAATGGGCTATAATGGCTAGCTTAGTGGATTGGGCTTATAAGACTGTTCTAGAACACAGTTTATGATTAAATCTTTTATTTTTTAAGGGATTAAAGTATCTGTTGTAACTTCAGATAAGTGTATCTGTTGTTTACTATAACAACACCGTTTTTGTTGTTTTTTAATTAAAACTAATCTTCTCTTTTTTATCTAGAGGTGGTTTACCGCTCGCTGCTCTCCACGACGAAGTGACGAAGTGGCTTCATTCATGCGCTCTGTAATACTTGAAAAAAGGAGGCACCTTTATATTCACCGCCCTCAATCTATCTTTACCCAATTATTCGTAAGGATGGAGGTAGAAACAAAATAGAGGAGAGAGACAAATATATATATATATATAGAGAGAGAGAGAGAGAAATGGGGATGTTCAAGTTCTTGTGGTAAAGGAGGGGATCTCCGAAATTTCCATTTCACGTTGAATTTCCAAATAGCTTTTTAGGCGACACGACGCGGAGGAGAAAAAGGAAAAAGAGAAGGGGGGCAAGGTGGAGGAAAGAAAACAGAAAGGAGAAGATAGATCCCGTAGGAAACTTAAAAAGGCTTAGAAGCAAGCTAGGGTAGGCTATTACTTTTCTTGATTTTGTTTATGTTTGTAAAAAGCTTGTTTTGATTGTTTTGCCAACTCATACAGTTGTTCCACTCTTGAAAATGCGAATTTGTCTATATTGAAGTGTTCTTATCTTCTCCCATACACACACTAATTTCGTTTTCTGCCTGGTGGGCTCATAGGCTTGCAACACAAGTGTAAGTTTCACACACATTTGTTGCTTTTTTCCCTCCCCATAAAGTCAAGACCCCAAATAAGATTCATTCGGGATTTGGTTCTTCTCTAATTCAATTCAATCTCACAAAACCAAATCAAATCGAAGTTGAAACTTTGAAACCTCTGCTTCTGTTTCCTTTGAAAAACAAAAAAAAACCCAACCTAACTCAAAGGAAAAAATAAAAAAAAATTGAACAAAAGAAGAGATTGTTTTTTTCGATTTGGGTTTTTTGAGGTGGAGCCTAACAATCCCAGATTAATGTTAAAAAAAATCACAAGAAAGAGAAGTGGCTTCGTCGTGGAGAGCAGCGAGCGGTAAACCGCTTGAGATAAAAAGAGAAGATTAGTTTTAATTAAAAAACAACAAAAATGGTGTCGTTTTACTGAACAACAGATACACTTGTCTGAAGTTACAGCAGATACTTTAATCCCATTTTTTAAATGATAATATTATATTAATGAGGAAGGATATTTTTATGTGATAGGTTATTCTATGTATCATTTTTTCTGCCTACCTTTGCTTACCACCCTCCAACACTGTTAGATCAAAATCTCAAAAAGAGAGAGAAAAATAAATGTTAGTTAAGATACTGATCTAATAGTGTTTTAGAGTGGTAGGCAAAGTTAGGCAGAAAAAATGGTAGGTAGAATAATCTATCCCTATTTTTATTACCAAAAAAATTACTATCAATTCACTACCTATATAATTATCATTGAATCATATAGAGAGAATGCTAAAAAGTTTCTAAAAAGAGAGAAAATGTTGATCCAATGATAATTAGATAAGTACTAAGTTAATAGTAAGAATATCCCCCTCTATATTAATATGATTGGGAGTATTTCTTTTTCTCTATAATGACTTGTGTCAATAGTTTTTTCTCTTCATTTTTTACTTTTACTTAATCATTTTAATCAAATATTTACAAAATGTACTTGTAGGAATAAATATTTGCTTTACACATAAATAAAAATTCACGTTATATAATATTAATATCTGAATTAAAAGGATGGATATTTAGATCATATAGTGATAAAATGGCTTTTTGAGCCTTTTGCCCCTCATTAATTAATTAATAACTATTTTGCCCCTTGTCGATAACTATTTACCAATCTGCCCCTCTTTAATCGATTAACTTGAAGATTTAATCGATTAAATGGTAAAAATAGACAAAAATAGTTGACTCGAGATTTAATCGATTAAATCTCCTCTTTAATCGATTAAATCTTCAATAATAGGAGCAAACTATCGTTTGGGCCAGCAGAAAAATGCCACAGCCTTTATATTCTGAATTATTTGTTCTTGATATTGACCGAACCAAAAACTACATCGATTCTTGATAAGACAATAATTGCAACTGTGAAAATCTTGAAAGCCATCCTTTGGCCGAATCCCAAGGAAATCGAAAGAAAATGCAGGAAAAGGAGATGAGAATCTGAATGTTGTTTATTGATTCAAAAAATAATAATATGATACAGAGAGAGAGAAAGACTTGCCATCCAAGACGGTGAAGGCGAAACCGAGATGGCAGAGACCTTTGGAAAGGAACTCAATGTGTTTATCGCGTTGCAGCTCCAACCCGTGAAGAAAAATCGAATCAGAAAAACGATATAAGAAAATTTGAGAATGAAGGAGTGAGAGTGAGAGTGAGACTGACATGACGGATTGGGCGTTGGGAGGAATGGTGGCGAAGAGTTGGTAAATCTTGGGAGATTTAATCGATTAAATAGGGAGATTTAATCGATTAAATGATTTAATCGATTAAATCCCGAGTCAACTATTTTTGTTTATTTTGACCATTTAATCGATTAAATCTTCAAGTTAATCGATTAAAGATGGGCAGATTGGTAGATAGTTCTGGGTAAGGAGAAAAATGATTATTAATTAATTAATGAAAGGTAAAAAGGTCAAAAAACTGTGATAAAAGCCTTAATTAAATTGTAAAATTTCTAAAATATAAGAGATAATATTTACATAATAATAGAAACTTTACATAAAAGTATATTAATATATAAATCGTAGGTCAACATATACATTACCTGAGGATAATTTACGGGGTAAATATTTTCCCCAGAAAAGCAAAAGAGTTTTATAAAAAAAATCTTATTATTATAATTTAGGGAAAAGTATTTCTCTAATTACCGGAGATAAAGTTATCTCCAGTGAGCTTAAAACGACGTCGTTTTGGGTTATAAGATTAAAAAATTATAATAATAAAGACTAATATAACCCTGCAATATATTATAATTACAAAAATACCTTAATTTTTCTCCCAAAATGACATCATTTTGGCCTCATCGGAGATAAATTATCTCCATTGACTAGAGAAATCTTTTACCCTATAACTTATACTAATAAATATTTATGTCATACGAGGATAGAAACTTAACATTAAAGCATAAATCACAAGGGTGAATATAAATTTTAAATGCGGATAAAAAATTTAAATAGAGG